AGGGTTGGTTGCTCTTTTTGATGTGAACAACAATGAAGGCCGAGTGAGAGGACTGTAATTACAATACACTGTATTATGTTTACAGTAAAATACAGTTACTATGTTCATATTGTCTTCAGTTAAAACACATTCCCTCTTTAGTGATTTATACGAGTTATTTAGGAAAACTTGGAGCAATCTCCAATTTTCTTGTACTTTGTATTTTCTCACGATGTCTGATTGGTCCAGAAGTCGTAGCAGTCATGTGACATTACTCTGCTGTTATCCATCCTACGTGTTTTACTAACGGATTATGTCATTACTTTGAGTTTGCGCTCTCATGTCCCCGGTCCTTTGTCTCTAGCAGGTCCCTTCACTCTGCTGCTCGCGCTGTTAAAACTTCCCTTCATGGATCTCTGAAGGCAGGACTTCTATACAGGACACATGGGGTGGGACACGTTGCCTTACACGGCGTTATTGGAGCATTAATTATGCAAATGTTCAGTTCACATGAACGCACAGGTGTCATTCATCATGTTATCTCTGCTCATTCACACGGTTATGAGAAGCCAGCAGCGTTTGCTGGATCTGACGTCGCTCACTCGTATGAAAAAAGAAAAGTTCAGATAAGAAAACCAGAATGTTCTATATTTACAGCGCGCTACGAAGGAAATGCCGTTTGGAATGAAGTGCATGAGATTTGGGATATTTTGTGTATATGTCTTTGTGTTCCGACTGAGAGGGCCGTAGCTTCAGAAATGTAAACAGAATCGCTGTGGGCTGTTTTCCATAGACGTGTTGTAAAAGTAGCACATTATGCATATATGACAACAGTGTGTTACAGTAGGAGAGGCAGTTAGTAGGTCTCACACCAAAGTATAACAGGCATCACATCATCACCACATCATCACCACCGTTCAACCCTACACATACCTGCACACGGCACTGTGTAATGACACCTAATGTGCAGTAATTGTTCATTTGATTCCTGCTTTTGACCTTTACTGCAAATCCTCTCTCTCTCTCTCTCTCTCTCTCTCCCTCCAGCACACACTGAAAAGCCTGCAATATAATCTCGGCATCTTTGTTGAGTCCGTGTTGAGTATGTGTGTGTGTGTGTGTGTGTGTGTGTGTTTCATCCCGGTCATATGTCCTTAACAGCTGATTTTTCTGACTCTTTAAGTGCGTCCTTGAAGGATAAAAAAGTGTTGGCACCACAACGCCGCCAGCTGCAGGAACAAGAACACAAACGGCTGCGTCGACAATCTCGTAGTGGTTGCTTGTCAAACATACTGTACCACCACGTACCTGTACCAATACTGTACCACCACCAACACGGTAAGAAAAAGAAAGGGTGAACAGCAGCATCCTCCTCTGTGAGGATGCTTTCATCCAGCTGTCATTGGAATATCTGTCTGTCAGTGTGTGATGCTCATGCTTTAATTCAACATATACAGCCCAAGATGGAAAAAAAACAATATGCTCCTATGAATCTGATTAAATGGACAAATACAACACCTCAGCACAAAAACAGATTGAGTTTGTTTCCCTTTAGAGCCGAGAGACGAGTGACATGGACACGTGTTTACTTAACATTAGCATCGATTACACAGTGACGTGGCTGCAGCGGACCCTCGCCGCTGACAAACCGCATTAGCACACAGAGCGGAAAAGCCTGTGTTCTCTCCGTCAGCACTGCGGGAGCACATTGGTGGGACGCTATCAATTATCCTAATCAAACAAAGACTTAATGCAGAGCAAATAATCTCTTTAAAAGCACTAAGCCCGGCTGATAACTCGGCGACAAAGTAACCGTCTCCCATCGCCACACCAAGGGTACTCAAAGTCAGCAGTGAAGTGCTGGCGGGCCTGGACACAGCACACAGATACGCAGTGAGGCTGTGTGAAGAGGAAGAGCTTACGCACTCTAAATAGGACATAAAGCAGCTGGCTGCCTCAGAATGAAAATATGTGTCCAAAGCAGCAAAGCCTCTCAAACTGTGCCAAATGTGCCGTTACATTTTGATTCTTTTATCATCTTTGATAAGATACTTCCTCATGAGAGTTCCTGATTTCACTCGTTAACACTTCTTGTACGGCTGATCGTGTTTCGACGACATTAAAGGAAAAATACATGGTTGCTCTGCTTCCATGTCTTGTTTCAGACTCGAGGAAAGAAGACATGGATTCTATCTATTTGTCTATTTGACCTGTAGATTTCTCCTAAATCCACCAACAGTTACATAATGCCTCATTTGCACATTTAAATGTAACATTCATTTTTATCATTTTCACCAATAATGTCCTTATATAAGATCTTTTATTCCTCTCTTTATTCTGAAGGTTTGTTCAGATCTCATTCAGAGGCTGATTTATGCAATAAGTTATTATTAAAAACATGGAGAAAATATTGTCTGTTTTTGATTCATGGAGTGATACAAAGATTATTATATATATATATATATATATATATATATATATATATATATATATATTCCCTTAGTAAAAATATTTAGAAAGAATAATTTTAAACCTGGCTTCAGCCAATGTTCAGATTTATGTTCTGGAATCATATTTAAACATAACATACACCTAAAAACTCTTAGTACAAAAAATAATTGTCAGTAATTAACCGGTGAAGTTTTGCGGTGCCATCTTTTAGTTCCGGCCTGCCGTGAAGAGGCTCTCTGTGCAGGTCTTGGTTTTGGACTGCATGGCTTTCTAAGACGTGTATCACAGACTGTTGAGTGTGGAGAGAGCGTGGGCTCATGTGTGGACGTCCTGGAGCCCCGACACGACAGGTGAATAGGGTAAACATTTCAACTGCTAGATATCGCCATGAAACTTCACTGATTACAGACATTAATACAATTATGTCTTCTATTAGGAATGTTATGTTTAAACATGCAAATGAGGCATTATCTTGTTAAATATGGACTCATTTGCATATGATTCCAGAGCATTGAATCTGTCATAGTGTTAACACATTAAAGTCAAAGGTGTTTACTGAGGGAATATATATATACAGTATATATATATATATATATAAATCACTCCATAAATCAAAAAGAGACAATATTTTCTCCATGTTTTTAGTAATAACTTGTTGCATAAATCAGGCTCTGAATGATATCTGAACAAACCTTCAGAATAAAGAGAGGAATGACAGTAAGAGCTACGAAGAAAAATATGCTACGAAGAAAAATATGCAAATGAGGCATTATGTAATGGTAACTTTTGGTGAATTGAGGAGAAATCTACAGGTCAACTAGACAAAGAGATCCATGTCTTCTTTCCACGAGTCTGAAACAAGACATGGAAGCAGAGCACAAACCTCTGAAATGATCAGAGGATTTGAAATAACAATGTTTTTTGTCTTAAAAGGGTTAATATTCCTCAAAGTAAGCCGTCCATAAAGTCTCCCTTTGGTATCGACACCAGAACCAGAAGCTGACAGCGCGCACATCAAATGCTGATGCACTCAAAATAGGACGAGTCCCTCCACATGGAGCAGCTGGATGACTCGGGCTCACATTAGGAGTGACAATCTTCCACAGTGGGGGAAAAAAGACTCAAAGTTGAAGCGGTTGCGAGGGTTCTGACTCTGAGCTAGCTAGAGCTAATACATGGGGGCTGTTTCAGTTCACTGGGGTCTGTGTAAACCCAGCCGGGGCCGAATGTGAGGGCCCCCGTGCTGAGGCTGACCGGACACCACGACAGACTCCTTTCTACAGAGGGCCCGAGGAGTCAGTGGGGGCCAGGCTGTAAGAGCTCAGATAGGTTGCTTTAGGAAGGAGGAGAGAAAAAAGGATGGGTATGGAAGAATGTGGTCAGAGAGGGAGAGAGAGCATTTGCACGAGTGAACGCATTAATTATTCTAATGAACGATTGAATCGTCTGTTTTGTTTCTGACGATGGAGCAGCGACCTATTTGGTCCGCTGCCCAGCGCCTCATTAAGAAGCCCGGCACGCCAAGTGGTCTCCAGCAACCGAGTGACCGAGCTCATGGGGAGTGGGCTCCTCATTAACACCACCATGTATTTACAAACTGCAGCGCCGGGGGGGCGCAAATATGAAGAGACGCCCATCAAGGGCGCTCACAGGGACCAGGATCGGGTTCTGTCAATAGCCAGGCTGAGCTTCTTCTTCTTCACCAGAGGGAAACCAGGAAGCCTCAAACGTACAACAGCACCAGCGTTGTTAGCCCGAACTCAAATGAGCTCTCACTTCTTCAGTACATTTCATGTCCACTGACGGTCATGCTATTTCTCTTCTTTTTAAATCTCATATTTAAAAAGATTAAGGGAACGCATATTTCAAATGGAGACACTTTATTTAATTTAGCTTGACTTTGTCTCGATGTTCCTACAGTGACAGCTATGCAATGTCCTTCATTTAGTGATTAAAAACCATTCAAGTTCGCATTCTTTGTTACATATATTTAAAATCTAAATACTTTGGAAAAATACAATTTGTTTCACTTTAAATTATGAAATGAAATACATATCTCAGTTTATTAATGTCCATTACCCTGCAACTAAAAAAAGGTTTGTCCCAAAAACCCTGTGAGCAGCATGACAGGACGTCACTTCTCTCTAAGTGTCTTCTCTTTTATAAATATTATGTCTGTAGTGCATTGTCAAGAAGTATTATGGACTGTCAGCTATGTTGGGTACATGGTTATGTTTTTTATTTGTTTTTAATTATATTTCAAATATATGTTTTAATTCACCGCCCTACCAACTGTCAGCTATGTTACCCAGAGTACTGGGATCACTGGGGAAAGTTCTTAATGTTTAAACTCTGCAATAATGGATACACATACATACAAACTCCCATGTGCTGCAGCCCAGCAGGAGAGACAGGCCGCAACCTGCACCCCCGCCCCCCCCTCCTAATCAGCTAGCTCCAGTCCTACAGAAGCCAGAGAGACATCCATTTGTCCCTTTGAACCGAGTAAACCCAGCAAGCGGAGAAAGAGGCCGATCACGCACAGTTTTGCAGCAGAAGCCGCTCCTTACCGGAGGAATGGCCTCTGTTGGTGGCGTCGTGGTCGCTGTCTCCCTGCTCGCTGTCTCCGTGGCCGCTGTCTTTGGAGCTCACCATGTCCGCCTCCTGGAACGCCGAGCTGAAAGACAAAAGAGAGCGTGAAATTGAAGCCTATATATATTTATAGCAGTTTCTAGATGTTTTCATCCCCATCCTCATCCTCCGCAGCATCATCATCATCACAGTAACGAGAGTTATCAACGGATGGAGCGGAGCAGTAGGCCCACGAGAGGTTCAATAAACATGGTTTGGGGGGGGGGGTAGATGTGACAAGAGTGTCTTTCCATATTTACCTGTTGACACGTCTCGGCCTGTCAACCAGGTAGCTGAGTTCAGCTCGCTGGTGTTTGGTCTGAAAGAGAAGGGCCAGTTTTTAGTGTGTGACCACCTGGTGTTACATGATCAGTCACACCATCGAAAACCCACACAGTTCAAGCTGGGGGAGGGGGGGCTCTCTCTCTCACACACACACACACACACAGCAGCCTCTGAGCCACCATACATGAATATACACAGATTTGATTTTATATTAACATCAAACATGCAGCCTTAATGTTTCAGATCCAGCCTCCCCCTCAGGGAGTCTAATCTTAAAGAAGTCAGTGCATGTTGTGTTTTTAGCTCCCAATAACAGCCATGTACTAGTAGAGCAGACATGTCAGTGAACTGAGGGTAAATGTTGAAGACTCTTGTATGAAAACACATCCGTCCTGTATTCCAACAGAATGAGACCAGGTCTCAGCTGTGTGTGAGTGGCTTCAGACATGCTGAGGGTTTAAACTGTAGGTATGAGAGGGACTCTTACCTCGTTTGACAAAATGCTGCCGTTTGATATGATGTCGGGCTGCTGGTCTGTGTACCCTGTCACTATGGCCCCGCACGGGTTGTGATCGGTGTCTGTGCTCCTAGTCGGACTACACGGCTTTAGGAACATGAGGTCGGTTTTGGCGGACTCCGGAGTCAGACATACCTGGTAGCAATAGTTCTGGTTTTGGTGGTGGGAGCCGAAGCTCCCCGACTCCTCCACGGGGACTTGAGCCGTGCCAGCGCCGCTGACGCTGCCGGCGCTCTGCACCAGCATGATATCCGACTTGCTGAGCTTTTTCTTGCGCGCCCGGCCCTGCCGCGAGCAGCAGGCGCTGCAGCCCAGGCAACACTCGCTGGTCAGGCAGGAGTAAATGTTGAGCTTTTTGTCCTTCTGGCAGCGCACGGCCAGCACGATCATGACCAATAGGAAGATGAAGGAGACGGAGCCCAGGGCGATGATGAGGATGAGTGTGAGGTCCAGGGTCCCGTCTTTGGCCTTGGCAGTGCCTCCGTGGTCCCCGGCGCCGCGGCCCTCGGCCACGCTGTCCACCAGCACCACCAGCACGCTGGCGCTGGAGGAAAGCGGCGGCTGACCGTGGTCCCTCACCTCGATCAGCAGGTCGTACAGCTGGTGGGGGTCGCGCTTGACCGACACCCGCCTCGCTGTGCGGAGCTCACCCGTCCTCCAGTCCATCCGAAACATGCCGTTCTCGTTCCCCCTCTGGATGCTGTATGACAGCCGGGCGTTCTCCCCGTCGTCCGCATCCATGGCCACGATGCGGGTCACCAGGTATCCCGGCTCGGCGGAGCGGGGCAGGGGCTCCTTGGCGGTGCCGTTCTTCCCCAGTGGGGCCAGCACTACGGGGGCGTTGTCGTTCTGGTCCACGATGATGACTTTGACCGTGGCGTTGGAAGAGAGCTCCAGGGCGCCCGCGTCTTTGGACTGGACCATGAAGGTGAAATCCTTCAACTGCTCATAATCAAAGGACCTGAGCGCGTACAGGTAGCCTGTCTCCTCGTTGATGGACACGTAGGTTTTGACCGACATGCCCTGGATGTCACACTCTAATATGGAGTAGCTGATGAGCGCGTTCTGCCCGACGTCCGGGTCCAGAGCCGTGACCGCGTGTATGTACGCCCCCGGCACGTTGTTCTCTGTCACATACACATCATATATGGCCTGCGTAAACGTGGGCGCGTTGTCGTTCTCATCCGACACCCGAACTCGGATGGACTTACTGGCAGCGAGCGAGGGCGTCCCTTTATCCCGCGCGACCACGGTGACGGAGTAGGAGTCCGCCTGCTCCCGGTTCAGCGGGCCGTCGGTCAGGATGGTGAAATAATTCCTAAAGGACGTTTTTAATTTGAACGGGACGTCGCCGAGGATCTCCACGTGGATCTGCCCGTTCTCCTCCGCGTCCCGGTCCGTCACGCTCAGCAGCGCAATGACGGTACCGGGAGCCGCGTTTTCGCTCACCGACTCGGTGACGGTGCTGAAGGTAATCTCCGGTGCGTTGTCGTTCAGGTCGGTGACTTTGACTAGCACTTTGCAGTGCGCGGGCACGGCGTTCGGCCCCATATCCTTGGCCTGGACGAAGATCTGATAGAGGCTGCTCTCCTCAAAATCCACCTCTGCGCGCACCTCGATGCGCCCGGTGCGCGGGTCGATGCTGAACAGGTCCTTTACGCGGTTGGATATGTGGTTACTGAAGGAATAAACGATCTCCCCGTTCAGTCCCTCGTCCAGGTCAGTGGCGTTCAGCTGTAGGACCAGCATGCCCACCGGTGCGTTCTCCGAGAGGCTCACCGTGTACACGGGCTGGTCAAACACCGGCACGTTATCATTAGAGTCCAGCACTTTGACCACCAGCAGCGCGGTGCCAGTCCGGGGAGGCTGACCACCGTCCACCGCGGTCAGCACGTACCTGTGGGCCGCTTGCTGCTCCCGGTCCAGCGGCTTTTCCAGGACTAGCTCGGCGAACTTGTTTCCATCCGTTTGGGTCTGCACATCCAGGTAAAAGTAGTTGTTAGTGGTGATATCGTAAGTGCGCAAAGCGTTAGAGCCCACGTCCGGATCGAATGCGCTCTCCAGGGGAAAACGGGTGCCGGGAGTGGCGCTCTCCGAGATCTCCACCGTGATGTCTGTATCTGGGAAGCTGGGCGAGTTGTCGTTAATGTCCACCACCTCGATCTCGACTCGAAACAGCTCCAGCGGGTTCTCCAAGAACACCTCCATGTTGAGATGGCAGCTGGCGCTCTGCCTGCAGATCTGCTCCCGGTCGATTTTTTCGCTAACAAACAGGACGCCGTTCTCCAGGTTCACCTCCAGGTACGGCGTGCGAGAGCTGGGCACCACCTGGAAACGGCGTGAGGCCAGTTTGGTAAGGTCCAGTCCCAGGTCCTCGGCGATATTCCCCACCAAGGTGCCATGGTCCGCCTCCTCCGGCACAGAGTAGCGTATCTGAGAGAGCACTCCATCCGCGATGCACAGGACAATCAAAAGCACAATCATCGCAGGGAAACAAGTGCACTTAGGTAGAGAATATTATAAACAGTATTATCCTCTGTTACTAATGGCCAAAATATCCTGTCCCATCACCCATGTCCTTCGGCTGACAAAGTCTCCAAAAATGCGTAAAAGTCTCCAGGAATGTACAAGACGTCCGGAAAAAAATCTGTCCCATTAGAAGAGAGGCATTTTTATTTCTGAAAGGAGTTTTAAAGACCGCAGAGCCTCTTTTTCTGTCCCTGCTCTGCTGTGTCGCTTCTCAGACGTGTCCGGAGAAGCTACCGCGCGCATTTCAATGAAGCGCAGTGGAACCAGTCTGGAGCGCAGTTTGAAAACGAGGAAATCAATATCCACATAAAAGCAATAACAGATCGGTCTTGTGTTCTGTGATTGTCCCTATACTCTGATGGTAAATGTCCGACTTGTCCTCTCGCTTTCGGGATCTTGGCACTCTGCTCCCTCACTGCGGTCCCTTCCACTCCACTCTCTACTGACGCTGTTCACTCAACTCTTTTCTTTTTTCTTTTTCTCCCCCCCTCTTTTGCATCGCACCGCCCCCTCTCAGCCCCCGCGGCTGTAAGTCACGCTGAGAGCTCTCTTCTGATTGGATAGCGGGGTTGCCCGTCAACGCCCCGCTCGGCCCCCTTGGTCTCCCTCACTGCCGCTCTATCTCGCTCTGCCTTTCTCGGAGCTGATTCAAGTGGCTTCTCATTTATCTCATCCCTGACGCCAAAGAGAAGAGGGGATGGAGGACGACAAGGCTGGACCCCCCCCACACACACACACACATACATAAACACACACACACACACACACACACACACACACACACACACACACACACCTGTCCGTAAAGTGCGTCCCATAATGAACCAACGTGTGATGAGCGCGAGTGGAGGACTTGTTGACTTGGTGGCCCCGGCCCGTCTGAGCCTGAGGACAGACCGGGGTAATGCATGCAAATGCTGTGATATGTATGCAGGGAATCATCCGCCATTCGCGCGCTGTTTCTTAAGGCTGCGCGTTATAATTACAGCCGGTAGTTGAAACGATATTAACTCTCCTCCAGCCAGCCACACAAGCAGCGGGGCCGGAGAGGCAGGGAGAGCGGCTCTCATACGCGGACCTCATACGACCCCTAGCGGAGTGCGCGTAAACCAGAGTGAGATTCAGAGCCAGCACCGCCAGCCGTCTGAAAAATGATGTTCAGCATCGTTTCTAGTGGACCAGCCGATGGAGTTAGAAGGGAAAACTGGACGATGTTTTTCTTCGACACACTCTGAGTATGAGTCTATTCCCTCTGTTACAAATATGTCTTTTTATGTCAACTAATATCTTATTGTATGTCTAGTGTGGATCTTTAGACTGAGGCGGTGTGAAATAGATGTTTACTACATGTGTGATGTGTGATACACATGGGGAGAGCAACACTGGCTCAGACTGGACACCAACCACAGCAGTGGGGACAGTATTGTCAAAAAGGAGAGCATTTTATTGAAGGAAAACAAAGGAGCATGAAGCACAACAATAGACATATGCTTTTGTATGCGTATTATTTCACCTGAAAATAAACCTGTTTTGCAAGGAAAGCTGGCCGAACACTGCAGCGTCACACGCAGCGAAAACAATAGAAAGTTGCATAAAACTAAATGAAAAGCATTCGGTACTGAAAGTAGGCTATGGGAACAGACGGGATTACTAAAAGCAGTCGTGTAGTAAAGGCTCTCCAGTCTTGAATTGAGTCAGAGAATCACATTCAGCTTTTTACATTTGTTTTGTAGACTCTTCCAAGCGGAGCAGGAAACATGACGTGCATTAGATCATTAGTATTGCACAAAGGAAGGAAATGCACATGACATCAAAGGCATAGTCCTCTTACCCTGGTTATTCATAATCAGTTCATCACAAATGATGAAATGGGAACTAGTTGTGCAGGTTATGGTTAGGATAACTAACTATAACTACAAACCTCAAATGAATCCCGTGGTTGCGATTTCTTTGGATACTCTGAATGTTGTTGAAGAACTAAGACGACTCCTGCCCGTATGTTCCCTTTGTGTCTTACACAAACGGTGTGATGTCTTACAGATTTTTATTTTGAAAGCGGCCTTTACAAAATGAACCCGATGGTGTGTGTTTCTCAGCGTCTGTCATTCAGCGACTGATCTACGTCTGGTGGACCTCTGGACATGCTTGTTCATGTAGCCGGTCCGTAGACCAAACCCCACGACCACGTATCAGCCACGCTGTGTAGCAGAAGTGTTTTTTTATTCATTTTGAATTATTGCTGGTCTCCATAAGATAAGTTATCCCCCCCACCCTTCCCTCCCCCTCTCCTCTCATTTCTGCGAACTGATCTTGACCTTTTCCGTAACAGGACATCTCCCGTGCCTTCAGTGTGAGATCAGTACTGTGTGTGAGTTCAGAGGAGTGGAAGGAGGAGAGCAGTAGAGCGAGTGCTCCCCCTAGTGAACCACTCCACTGCTGCACCCTGTAAGCGTGGTCCAGAATGCCCACACATTCACATCCACGAGCTGCACCCAGTAAAACACACACACACACACACACACACACACACACACACACACACACACACACACACACACACACACACACCCACACACGGCAGCATAAGTGCATGTCTGCAAACTGTCAGATGCTACACAGAACAGGCCACTGGAGGAGAAACATGAAGTGGCCCCGAGAAGAGATTTTCCTAAATCAAGCTCCATCAAGTCAGCGGTGCAGTCAGACATAGAGCGAGCGACATGAACAATCACTGATTCAACTGCATAAATATGATTATAGTGCTCTTCACTACTCGCACACACTGAGACGGCAGCAGACCGCCTTCTCGTCCTGATTAACGTGGTCATGACATTTTATTCTCAAGTCGTTTTAAGGGTTAAAAACACAGAATAGAGCGACCAGTAATTGCTGGCTTTTTGTGGGTAAAAATAATGTCCATCTCGTACATCACAACGTTTCCCACACATTGTAGCGGTAAGATAGATTACAAAAACATAAAAATAAAAAGGTGCCTTAAAGCAGCCCCATCCAGAAGATAATTAGAGCAGGAAAAAACAGCATCAAGTGTTATAGAGCTACAGGGACCAGAGAGCGCCGTCTAATGGGAAACCAAGCGCTGTCTCTCCTCCTGTTAGCTTTAACAAGCGCACCATCAATTACCACACAAGTGGAGTCTCTCCCGTGGTGTCACGTTTAGGCGTTGGGGAGGACAAACGACATTTAGCCGCGTTAAGGGACAAGAAAGTCTGCCAGAAGCCTCTCTGCACTGCTGTGGCAAATACACAAACTGGAAAGTGTCTGTGAGATCTGACATTTACCGCCGACTAACAGGGCTTTGGATAGGACAGGACTCTGACTCACCCACAGCACCTGTACATTCAGAGTTGTGGACTCCCATTTCATAACTTGAACTCAACAAGCTCCACATTTCCCTGACAGTGGATGTGCTTCATCTGTCTCATGGCAGCCAATCCCATTTCACAAGGAGGAGGTACAGGTTTGTTAATGCAGGCCGTCTGATGATAGATGAACATCAGATCATCACATTTGATTGTTAAGACTCTGCTGTGGTCACCGACATATACAGCATTCTAAGACATAAGCAATGATTGATGAGGAATTATTTATGGCAAATACAGCGAGGTGATGACAAACCTTCTTGTGTTGTGTCAGATCCCTCTTTTACACAAAACAATGTCCCCTACGGTAACTGCTGTAGAAGTACTATAATATCAATAATATGTTCCACTTCCACCGAGTAACCAACAGTCCTGATCATAAATACATAATATTTATTCATTTAACCCTTTAAATGCCAGTTTTTGAGATGATGCCACAATGCTCTTAAATGGAAAAAAAACCACAAAATTTGGATTATTTTTTGTATACTGAATAAAATTATATTTTAATTTTCTTATAGTGTGATATGTGTCCGTGATTGATTTTGATGTACTTTTATGTTCTGTGCAGAATTAGGTTAAAGAATCTCACCTGTTTATAGTCCATGTAAAATGTCCATTATCCAAATTATCCAAATCCATTGGTACTTTTTTTTATCTCTCCTATTACACGTCAAAGTTTTTAACCTGCTAATTATCATTACCCTTGAAAGTGTTTTATCTTCTAATGGCCTATTGCCTTTTTGTGCTCCAGAACAGAGCAAACATAGCATACAAAATGACTTTGAACCACAGCCATGAGAGCTCACATGGCCATCTTCAACGATCACCAGCCTGTACTGTCACTCACATACAGACGTGTACATTCTCCTCTATTCTGTTGAGCTTGAAGGCCTGCGTCTGAATGTGTGTGTGAGAGAGACAGAGAAAGGGAGAGAGACAGGGAGGGTGAGGGAGTGTGACCTGAAAAACAATATAATCCCTTCAGTTGCATACATTTGCTAAATTAGCCTGCAGTGCTGCATAATACAGCAGCAACTTGTTCTTGGCTGGAGACCTGCTGGTTTAATTTGGACTTGGCTTTGAATTTGTTTGTCTTGACTTGACATGGTAAATGGACTTGTACTTGTGTAGTTCCTTCCTAGTCTTCACCCATTCGCCCATTCATACACTGATGACAGGGGCTACCATGCAAGGTGTCACCTGCACTTGGAAACTATCGTAACATTCATACAACATTCACACACCGCAGGGACAGTCTGTCTTGCCCAAGGACACATCTACATGGACTAACGGAACCGGGGGGTCTAACACGAAGGATGACCCACTCTACCGCTGAGCCACAGTTGCCACAATGGCCAAACAAATCTGCAGTGCCAGCAAGTTAGCTTGAGAAAAAGGCGGGAATCTCGAGCTGGATGACCATTTTTTTAGGAATGGCAATGTGGGTCAATACGTTTGGAATCGGACTGAAGTATCTCAACAACTATTGGATGGAGTGACATGAAACGTTGGTGAAACTTTTCATGTAGTGCCATCATCAAGTCAAAAATGTAATTTGTATTTTGACCAAATACCTGCAAAACTAATATAAATCGCTACTCTGTGTTTATTGGTGATCAGGAAATGTTATAATGTGTGCTAAACTGACACAATGAGCATTGTAAACATTATACCCACTAAACCTCGTCATGTTAACATTGAATGCACGCTAGCATGCTACTCTTAGCCTTTAGCTGCAGCATGCTGGAGTTGTTAATCTTGTTGGAAGTCTTATATCGTATCATATCATCAATATCACAAGGTTCTTTGAACAGTCCCACTTCAGCCATGCTAATTCATTTTATGCTAGTAGTGTCTCTTTGGATGTCATTATTTTACCCTCTCTCCATTTTCAGGGAATTTCTCCACAACATGTGTGTGTGTTTATGTGTGTGTGTTTGTGCGTGACCTCCAGTCATTCCTAGAGAACCTGGTAACTTGAAGCGAGGCTCTTCGAGCTCACAGCTGAGTACAATCTGCTTGTTTGTTAACCTTGAATGACTCCCATCTCATCATTAAAG